AATTCTTCATCATCTGCCAAAACATTGGAAGCAACATTGGAATAACTCAAAATTACACCAGAAACTTCTTACTGTTTGTTTTCTCTCCCTTTCAACCAACTTTCGAGTGGTAAGGTAGTGTTAGAAACAACTTCTGAGCACAAGAATGTCGTGACAGGCAAAACAAAACTTAAAATGTAAAAGAAAAAATGCACAATCCTGCTTCCTATGATCCTATCTTTGAGTGGATTTTGAAAATGTCGACAATCCAAGAACAAACAAACTGTGCACTGTTAGTTCCATTGGCAAGACCGCCAAAGGTTCATGGGACTAAGCGACGCGTGAGCTAATAATGCCAAAAACAATGCCCTGCTCATTTCAAAAGGCACAATTTCACAAAACCAAACGATTTATTCCTTACCGACATAAATCATATAAGTATTAAACAAACTAAATGAATAACAAAAGCCAGTACACTATTGAGTTCTTCTCCTAGCTCACTGATGCTAATTACCTATGTTAAATCGGATTTAGAACCGACACCAGAACTAGCGAACAATGTCTGAAACAGAGAAGTAAGATCTAAAATTTCCAGATCTAGTTATCGTTAAACAGTTGAATGCGGTTTACAAATCTAGACAGTCAAATCCAAAGGGAAAAAATAAAAAGAAAGTCGAGCTTCAACTCACCCGAGATCGGAGACTTTCCTACGCCGGATAAAGAGACTGGGAGAAAACGACTAGAGGCTCGTGAAATTGCGATTTCGAATTAGTTAGAGTGAACAACAAATAAGTGATAGGGCTCGTTTGTGAAATAAAATGGGATTTATCGTTTATGACCTCGCGCCAAATTGTTGGTGGCGGGAACTGAAAATGAGCGCGAAGCCTTGAATGGATCTTCGACGAAATGAAGTAGGAAAAAGGCTGGGTTTGCGTACGTCGCGCGCGCATGATATCTTGACGTCGTGATAGTAACGTTTACCGCTGGATCTGATGGTGATATTGGATATTCGCCACGTCATTATTCGTACGTATATTCAGGCAACCGGGCTCACCCACTCTGAATTTCCTTACGTGGCCGGGTTAAGGCAATTTTGGGTTCAAGGCTCCTGACCCATTATAATTAGCATCTTATCCTTTTTTTTTTATTTCTTTTTCTTTGGATGACTTAACCGATATTTGCTTGGAGTGATAACATTTTAAAATGAATGAAAAAGATAGGTAAATTAAAAAAAAAAAACATGAAAGGAATAATCACAATTATAAATGATAGTCAGCAAGTTTTACTCACGTATTTAACTCAATTTTTATTGTGGTTTTGAATTGTTATAAATAGGTTTTAGATAAAAAATTATTACTGGATATAGTTTAGGATAAAATTTAAATTTGACGGTTAGGATACTCTCTACTTGAAATCGTTATATATTAATCAATTTGGGTGTGGGTATTTGAATAAAAAAACGGTTATGAAATTCTTTAGGAGGAAAATGAGAGAATAAAATGTTTATAGAAGAGTAACAAGAAATGAAGCAACCATGTGCATTCTTTAGTACCAAAGGGAATATGAATGAGAAATCAAAGGTTGGTAGGTTTGCTAATATTCATTTCTTTCACAAGTGAAGATAATATAAGATGAAAGGGAAAAAAAAGGGAAGTAGCTATAAGCCTACAACCCTTCTTTATAACAGCAAATGACGCCTCACTTCCATTTTTTAGCATAAGGATATATGTAAGTGATTAGTGAAAAAAATAAATAAATTTCTATTTTTTTCTTATCATAATATTTAATTTAATAAAAAATGATATTATTTAATTTATCAATATGTTAATATTTTATCAATTTATACTTAAATTTTTATAAATATATATATATATATTATGTGTACGTGTGTAACAATACAAATTTCATTATCGAAATAACGAAATTTAAGATTTTTCGGAAAAAAGAATAAGGTTACAATAAGGGGCCCATTGGTCTGCCTCATAAGCATGTGCCAAGGGCTCAAATTTCCATAATCTGCAGCCCACAGAAAACCCCAAGGTCCAAATTGAGGGCTCGAGCTGCCAAGCTGCAAAGGTGCGCCAAAAAATGTATTTTTCTGGATAGCAAAATTACAAAAGACAAGGAAATAAAAAGAAAAGAAAAACCTCTCGACATTTCCATCACGGCACCAACCTCTCCCCGATTGTCTCGGTTCCTTGTACCTCCCGTAAGAAATGAAGGCGTCTTTGAAAGGCAGATACACGAATGACAAGAGCACCGCCGCCGCTACTATAGCCGTCGGCGCGGGCGATGTCAAGCTACGCGCCTCCATGACTGACGCCACTGTCGTCAATGGTCCTAGCCTGAACGGTTTGACTTTATCCGTTGAAAAACCCGGGTTCTTCATCGTCGACTATGACGTCCCCAAGAAGGCACGTTTAAATTGAAAACTATACTAGTACTACGTCTTTAATTTATCACTGACTTGTTAGTTATTTGATTTTTTGTATTGTTCTTTTGGGGGCAGGATTTTCGGTTTCAGTTTATGAACACGGTTAGGGTTGTGGAGAAGCCGTTGAAGCTTACTTACATTCACAGCAGAGGGGATAACCGGACGGTGGTGGACGGGGCACTCGCGTTCGATTCTGCTAACAAGTTGTCAGCTAATTACACGTTTGGTACGAGGAATTGTAAGCTCAAGTACAGTTACGTGCACGGAGGAGTAACTACTTTCGAGCCGAGTTATGATTTGGGGAAGAATGCGTGGGATTTTGCAATTTCGAAGAGAGTATACGACGATGTTTTTAAGGCGACGTATCAGACATGGAGCAGGGACTTGGCTTTGGAGTGGTCGAGAAATTCAAAGTTTAATGGGACTTTTAAGGTAGCCAACTAGACAGTTCTCTCTTTATCTTTTGTTTGATTATTTTATTGAAATTTGAATGTTTCCATTGCACATTATCTCGTGGGTACTCTTTGGGTTATGCATGGGAACAGTGTAGTAGAGTATTGAAATTGAAATGTACCATTCCTATTCTGAGATTGGGTTTTCAATCTGACTTGACTGATTAATCTAACTCCTGCACTTGGTAAAGAAAATTCCAAGTCACTGATGTGGTTGTGAAATTGTAGTTTTAGAGGGCAGAAGTGAATTAAGGTTCATAAGATAACTTGTCATTTTTCAGCAAAGAATTTGGTGGGAATGAACTATTTATGTCTTATGACGATTCGAAGGATTGTTCAATAAATTGAGTGTAAAAATGAAAAATGAAGCCTAAGTAGTTTGAGAACACATCTGCCGCAAGAGGGTGTTTTACTAAAACATAGATACCTGGTGTGGTTCTGAGGAAGATAAATGGATAACTGTGGCCTTAAGTTACATCCTGCAATCAGGAGAAACTTTTCCCTTTTGTTGATTCAGTCTTCTATTGTTCGAAGTGGATGTAGAATGTAGTCATTGCAACTAACTGCTTGAATGCTGCTTGAAATGTTTGAGAAGACCTTGGAGCAAGCAAGGCTTTGGATTGCTTGATCATATTGCTTATGTCTTTTCTGTATATGCATGTTATTTCTATTATTTAAGCCAAGGCCTTTTTTTTAATGACCAGGCATTTAGAGATTGAAATAAAATGCCAGCATATCTTATTTTACTTTTAACACATTAAATAATGATGTCAAAAGATGAAGTTAGGTCATGTTGCTTTAAGGCAGAGACATTGGTGGTTTGTTGGGAGGATACTCGTGTGGATGCATTCTTTATGCTGCATCAGGTTGAACTAGTACTTTTCTTTGACCAAGGAGATTGTAGATGATATGCTCTAGGTTAAGGAGTGGATGTCTTGTGAAAGGGACCATCCTATATGGAGACATATGAGAGGGTCTTTTGTGGTGATGAGAGACAAGGGTTCCAACTAAGGTTGCTTCCTTTGCTTGGGAGGCTACATGGGAACGAAACTATTGGTAACAATCCAAAACAGGGCAAAATTTTGGCTAATGAAATATTTTCTATACAAGGCAGTTGTGTAATCAATTAATAATCTTCCTCTTACTTGCCTTGGTGAGATAGCTTTGGCCTTCAGCTTCTGCAATCTTAGGCATTCTTTGGTGACAGCTGGTTCAACTGAAGAGGTTTGGAAAGGTGTAACCTCTTGTACAAATCGAAGAAAAGTTGTAGATTTGATCCCTCTTTCTATTGTTTGGTTGTTGTGAAGAGAAAGAAATGGAAGGGAAGAATTACTTATTTGGAAAGCTCTTAGATAATTGGTTTTCCATGGTTTAATTTTGGTATTATTGGCAGTAATCAATAGACAGTCAAGATGGTATGGATTTCATAGAACTCTTTCTTTAGAAATTAACTTGGTGTCTCTTTCGTGATTTTGTTCTTCATCTATCCAAAAAAAAAAAAAACAGGGAAAAGAAATGGAGGTAAAAGACCTATTGTGCTGATATGATTATGAAATTTGCTAAAATTATTTGTGTTTCATAAACATGGTATGTTAGGTGTGATGTGTTAGTTAGAAATGAAGCTGATGTCTTGATACAATTTGTTTGATATAAGGTACTTTAAGCCTTGCCTGAGATGATTTCTAATCATCATCCAATTTGTTATTTTTTTTTTTTCCAGATTTCTGCTTCCATCAACCTGGCTGAAGAATCTAAGGTCCCCAAAATTGTTGCTGAGAGTACTTGGGATTTGGAAATGTGATTTATTGTTCACCAATCTTATCCATTTGCATGTTTGAAGTATATACATTTCGACAAACGGCTTATTGCAAGCTGCCTATTCAATAGTGTTTCAGAACATAGTTTTGCTCCTGATTTACCATCTATAATGGGCTGATTACTCTGTTTCGTTGGCTGTACCAACGTTGTACTACTCATTTATCAATTTTGAATATCAGGTCCCCATTCTTGCAATACCTTAGTATTTTCTTGGCTTTGTCCTCCACTTTTATGATAAGAACATGCCAGTCATTGAATCAGAAACAGAGCTGCGGAAAGATACTTTTATTCACAGAGGCATTTTGGGTTATGAAGTGTAGAAGTAACGCATGCCAATTTTGGTCTTCTGGGGTTCTGAATGGATGGACAAATATGAAGGGCATGGTTCCCAGGAAGCCTGAATGTATTATCAGCTAAAGTCCATCTGCTTTGCTGGGATGTTGCTATAGATTTCGGGCTTCGCTTATGGTTTCCTAGAAGCAGGAGAAGGCTTTCTAAGGGCCATTAAGCCCATTAATGATAATCCGACATTCGAAACTTTTTAAGTGCAGCAATTAGTAGGCCAATTTTCCCGCAAAGTGGTAAAAGCGTAATTTTCCTAATTTTAACCCATCGTCAAGCCCAAATCGAAAAGGCCAACCGCTTACGTTCCCGCGCTAAAGCAACAAAATTTTCCAAGCCAAATCGCGCCCTGGCGAATTGCCATCCAAATGTTTGAAAACATTTGCCGCCTTCCAGTTTCCAATTTTGAAACGAACCAGTCTGGATCCACAGTCCTCAACATTTCGGCATTCCCATATCAATAACCAAAATCCAAACTCTCTCTCCTCCACCTACGTCCAGAAGAAAAAGAGAGCAGTCGAGATGAACAGCGGCGAGGATCTAGAACTTGTATCACCGTCCGACGCGCCAGCTTCTCCTGTTCCTGGGAGAAAGTTGAAGCGATTGAAGAAGGTCAAAACGGTTGCTGAGAATCCGTCTCAATTTGAGGAACTAGATTTCGATATATCCGACGGCCAAGCTATTGATGAACCGAGATCGGGATCTAGATCGGGGTTCGAGGGTTCCGATGAGGAAGATGAATTCACTTCCGGCTTTGGTGAGTTGCCTGTCGAGGAAAAGTGGTCGGGTTCAGTTGCTAAGCGGACGTTGGATTTTGATTCCCTGACCGAGGAAGTTGATGGAGATGGTGAAGATCAGAGCCGAGAGATGGAAATTAGGGATTCGGAAAGGGAGGAGTCAGAAAAGAAACGGCCTAGTTTGGACGAATTAGAGAATAGAGAGAAGAAAAAGAAAAAGAGAGTCAAAGGCGATGGTGATGAGGAGATGCCTTTGTTACCAGAAAGAAGAACATCGAAGGTAGGAAGAAATATTTCCTTTATTTTTAGAACACAATCAGCAATATAATATAATCTTTTTTTATATATAAATTACTTGTATGCTGATTTTTCTTTATTTGGTTGCCGTGGTCTTTTTAAAGGAAAGAAGAGAACATCTTGCCCAACTTCGTGCTGAATCTCAGAGACTACTACGAGGTATTATAAACAAGCATGGGTTTCTGTAAACATACATAATTGATTTGAATTAGTCATTTTTTAATTCTTGAATTATGTATTACTTTGGGATAGAAACTAGAGATGCTGCCTTTAAACCAGCACTGTTGGTTCAGAAACCCATATCATCAGTTTTGGAGAAGATTCGGCGAAGAAAGCTTGAGGTTTCAAAAAAGTGAGTGGTTAACTTTTTGTTTCGCCCCTCTATATTTTTAAGTGTTTGCCAATTTATAGATGGTTATACTAAGTTGTCACGTTTCTCAGGACATATTTTGTTGTTGATGATCATGATGGTTTTTCAAACAAGGATATGGCAGAGCTTGTTGCTAATGAGGGGAGCGGCCATGATGAGGCTGTGGAAGTTGGAAGTGAGAAGGGAATTACAAATCATGGGATTTCAGATACCTTGTCTGCTGATGAAATAGAAAGTGTTGCGAATGTCTCAAGTCATGAAAAACTTTCACCAGGGATGGTGAGTTATTCATGTTGTGTTTCAGTGATGGATCTGATAATTGTACATCAGGAATTTCATACATTTCATGATTTTAAAATTTGCAAACAGTTTTCTGGTAGATGGTAAACTTCAATTACATGTGTATGAGCTATGAGCTTGCATCCTTTTGAAGTTGGGGAATGATGTTTCTCCTAATGACCAAGATAGCAAACTTGATCTGCCATTCTATATTTTTGGATTTGAAATAACATGAAATTATTTTCACATAATATTTGGTTGTCATATTTCCATCTGAATACGGTGCCTAGTGTACGCTTTCACTTTTATTTTAATGGCCATGGAAGGTTAATTCCTTGTGGCAATTGGGGTTTCCATGAGATTATCAGTCTGATAATTCAAGTCAGATGAGTTTTGCATTATGTTAAGGTGGACTTATGTGCGTTCTGATAGTAGCACCTGTTACATTACAGGCTGTTGATGAGGAGCCTAAACAAGCATTTCGAGCTGCTATAGATGATACTCAGGTTTCTTTTCTCCCTCTCACATCTCATTGGTTGAAGAAGTGCCACTTATGGATGAAATTCTGATTGCTTGTCTCTTTGCATATTGTAGGATCTATTTTCTGATTCCCAAACAAGTGACTCTAAAGATGATTTCGCAGAGGAGACCCCTAAGAGCCCTTTAGAAGAAGTTCTGGCACCATCCATGCTTGCTCTGAACTTAAAGCTCGACTCTGCTCCTGCTGATGACATGTAAGTCTTATACTTTCTTCTATTTGTTTTTACAATGATGTCATTTAATTTTAGTGGTCTTATCATCTGCATTCATAGCAGCATTAATCCTCAGGATAGTGCTTTTGCGCAGAAGCTTTCTTACAGTATTTGTATAACAACTCCATCTATCAGCTTCTGTCACATATTTCAAGGCCCTTTTTTGTTACTTTTAATTGTTTACCCAACGGAAGAAGTGTAGCATTTTTTTTGAAGTTAGTTTTATTTTTATACATGAGAATTTGCTAGGAATTGGAATGAATTCATCATATGTGCAAAATTATATTGATTATATCTTGTAAAAGTGAATCAATTGTTGCCTTACATAAATTTTGTTTGCTCTAATCTGTACAGTTTGTCACCTTGTTTGTTGTAGGTCATCTGATGAGGAGGACAATGACAAGGAGAACATTGATCCCCAACCACATAGATCTGCTGATTTGTCTCCAACGGCTAATGGTGATCCTGTTAAAGCATTTATTGATCAAGAAGCTGAAGAAGAAGATGACAGTGATAATGACTTACTTCCCTTCCAGGATGATGACAATGAAGAAGATGAAGATAGTGAAGATTTAGAGGAACTTAGGGATATGATAGCAACTACATATGAAGAAAAGCAAAGTGATATTGAAAAGCGCATGGAACTCCATCAGAAGTTGTTTGACCGACAGGATGCTGCTAAAACAGAGAACTTATTGCGGAGATGGGGTCCGAAGCAGAGAGAAACAACCTTGCTTGATGAGGAAGGATTTGAGGAAGAAGATGAAACTGATGAAGAGGAAGAGGATTTTGTTGAAACCACAGAAGATTTACCTCCGACAAATTTGCGCATGCATATAAAGAAGATAAAGGAAATGATACCACAAATGTTTACAGATAAAGATGACATGTATATATCATCTGATGATGAGGAAGTGGAAAAAAAGCTTGCTGAACAGTGCTTGTCTGAGAAAGCTGTGAGTTATTAGTAGTTTTAGATTTGGGCATGAATAACTTTTTTTTGGTCATATTTATGTATCTTTTGTTTCTTTATTGCTCTGATCATGAGATAACAACTAAATAAAGAGACATGGAACAGAATCAGCAGGCTGAGCTCTTGCCACCAACTGCGGATGCAAGGTCCAAAGAACTCTTTGGTTATATAAAGAAAGTGAATAATATGCCTGACATTAGAAGAAAAGCCAAACCATCATGTAAGATTCTTATCAATGAATTGGTCTTGATAAGCTATATGCATTTCCCCAGCTGAGGTTGTTTTGCTATAAAAATAAATAACATGTTTTTGTCATCACCATTGTTCTTGTTTTTGGCAGCCTTTTCTAATATGCTGTTCATGGGAAAACAAGGGAATGTGTCCTCAAAGGTAAACTAGTTTGCAGTCTTTTTGGATTTTGAGTCTGTTGGCATTTATTATAAGAAACTCTGATGACTTGAAAAAGTGGCATTTAGTATAAGGAAAGGAGCCTCTACTGGTGTTATATTTCAGTACGCCTAATCTAATAACTTATTTGGCCTTTGACTTTACTCCCAGATTTTACTGGATAACTGTGCTTCATGCACATTCTGTTTGACACGTCCCTTCACTACCAAAACAAAGCACTAAATGAATCTGAGCTCCTTCTGCAAGCTTCTTTGGCTTCTCATATAATTTAGCATCTAGTTTGACTTCTATCTGGGGCTATTCAAGCCCCTTTTTTATCTTAGGCATGATAGGGTCCTCTACTTTACATCTTAGGCATAATAGGATTTTAGTCATCTTTTCCTTTTGTGACCGTATGCATTTATATAGATGAGTAGGACATTGTGGAATGAGATTTCAATTTCCGAGACAACTAAGTTTAACTTTGTCCTTGGTAAATATTGCAGTCATCTTTCATAGGTCGGGGGTCAAACTGTTCTATATCTTCATCTAGCAAGCATGGATCAGGCATCTTGCGTTCTTTTGTATTTGAACGTGAAGACAGCAATAGCAGAAGCACAACCTCAGTTGCAGAAAATTCTTCTGATCTGGTAAGCTTAATTACAGCAAATTTTCTAGCTTATCTTCATATTCCTGGAAGTATCCATGGTTTTTGACATGGTTATGGAAGTTTGACACTTAAAACTTAAGGATAATCTTAGAAAAATCCGAAGTTATTCATGTTGGACACATTCCAACATCTGGCACTCACCTCTTGAGTGCAAGTAACATTGGTTATAATCCCTAGTACCTCAAACATTTGATTGCTAATTGCTATAGTTGTGCTGCCATTGAATTTCTTGACATTAGACTGCTAGAAATATCTTTGTCTTACATATGCAGGTCCAAAGGGAGCATCGGCCAACCAAAACTGCATCAGCCAAGTTTACTAACTCACAAATCAAATCAACTTCTCAGCCTAGAAAAGATGAAACGGAAACGAGTTCTCGAGCTCAGTTGCTGGAAATATTAAGGCGTTCCTCATTGCAAACGAGTCACAGCACTCATAATAGTATTGTTGGCCACACTGAATCCATATTTGCTGCATTCAAGTTGGAAAAGAAATCGGTAGATAATAAAGCCAATGTATCAATGAAAACTGTCTAAGATTATTCTGGATTGGACATTTGATTATCCAATGCGAATTGCATTCTTCTGCCAAAGCTTAGTTTCTCTCTAGATGGTTGTATTTACGTTATCTTTGCTAAAGTTGGCACTGTTCTGATGTCATTTGGATAAGCCTAATCTTTTAGAAAGAAGAAAAAGCTCTATGAAAAGGATGTAATTATCTGTCTGGTTAAACGGGAACCAATTGATGATGCTCTTGGTTTGATGGCTTCCCCAGCAAATGGGGACAGTGACGAAACGCTGCGTTTTCTAGGGGCCCAAACCCCGATCCAAAATAGACAGAAGGCATCTAATTATTTGTTCTTTTAAGTAACGCGTCGTGCTACGATTGGGTCTCAACAAAATTACAGGTAAGTTAACCTGACCGAATCATTCTCTTTAGATATGTTCTTTTATTTACCGGAAGTGATTTTCTTTTTCTGTTTTTTTTTTTTTTGGCCTGGAAATTCGAACTTCTTGCCCTAACTCGTCGTACGTAGGACAAACCCAAGTCAAAACGTTAGAACCGTTGTGTCCTTCGCTTCCTTTTCTCTCCAATCTTTCCCAACATCAGATTCATCAAATCTAACATAGATTCCAGCCGAAATTCTCCAAACCAGATCCGAAAAACACAACTAAGATCTGCAATTCAGACAGGGTTTGATTTATAATGGCAAAACATTGAATCGAAAAGAGTTTCAAGCTTCTTCCTTCTAATGGCAAATCCCCTCCAAGGCAAGTTTCTTCTCGTCTTTTTTCTTTTCATTTTTACTTCTCCACCACTTTCGGTAGTTTTCGTGAACTCTAACTTCGTCTCAATCCAAAACGAGCATGGACATGATCCGATTCCCGAAACTAAGAGTTCTCGTGATTCTAATCACCAGGAAGTTTTATTACATAAGCTTGAAGAATTAGTAAGAAATCTTAGTGAAGTAGTTTCTAGATTAGAATCGAAATTATCAGAGTCTTCAAAAGTTGATGACAGGCATAGTCTTGAGAGTTCAAGATCAGGTTTTGGAAAGAAAGATGAAATTAGCCAGCGAAAACATGATGGAAAAGCAACCATTCAAGAGATTGAAGTTAGAGATGGGGAAAGAGGGAGGGCTGTTTCAGTTACTAAGTTCAGTCCCTTTTGGTCTGAGAGGTTTCAATTCATGTCAGCTGTGAAGTTAGATTCTGATGCAACATGTATAAACGTTTTGCCCTTTCGTGATTACGAGGGGCTTAGCAAGTATGTTGCCACTGGGGATGACAGAGGAAGGGTTTATGTGTTTTTAAGAAATGGGGATGTTGTGGCGGAGTTTTATACCAGGTGTGACTCGCCAATTATGGCAATGGTTTCATACATGTCCGTTTACAAGAATGAGAGTGTTGTTGTTACAGGACATCAAGACGGTGTGATCATGGTGCATAGAATTTATGAAGGATTAAATGGAGAAGACTCAGGTTCACCTGTAATGGAAACTGTTGGTAAATTTGTGGCTGCTGACAGTGGGGAAGATGGGTTGCCAATAACTACATTGGAAGTTCATTATGTCGGAAGAATGAGGTATATTTTGTCTACGGATCTTAGCGGGAAAATCAGGGTTTTTAGAGAAAATGGATCACTTTATGGTTCTGCCATGCCAACAAGTAGGCCGCTTGTGTTCTTGAAGCAAAGGCTTTTATTCTTGACAGAGACTGGTGCTGGGTCACTGGATTTGCGAAGCATGAAAATAAAAGAATCAGAATGTGAAGGGTTGAATCATTCTCTTGCTCGGAACTATGTCTTTGATCCCACAGAGCGGTCTAAAGCATATGGTTGTACATCAGATGGTGATTTGATTCATGTTTTGCTGTTGGGGGATATTATGAACTTCAAGTGCAGGGTTAGGTCCAAGAAAAAGTTGGAAATGCGTGAGCCTGTTGCCTTTCAGGCTATTAAGGGATATTTGCTTATAGTTGATCAAGAAAAGGTTTTTGTGTATAATGTTTCTACCCTGCATTATGTTAGGGCTGGTGCGCCACGACTTCTTTTCTCTGCCGGTTTGGATGAGATCAGGTCATCTTTTTTAACTTACCGAGGGATGGATATAAATAATGAGAGAAGACAGGTGATGCCCGTAATCGCCAGTGATCGGGAAAAGCTTGTCGTTCTTGGCCTTGGAGGGGAGTATGTGGGTATGTATCGCTCTAACCTTCCCATTTTGAAAGGGGAGTCCAATATGATGCTATGGACTAGCCCCGTTCTGTTTTTCATACTTTTCCTGTTTGGGGCATGGCAATTCTTTGCAAAGAAGAAAGAAGCACTTACATCATGGGGACCAGATGACCCTTTTAGCTCCACGTCAGCTGCAAATGGGCCTCCACTAGTATCAAGCGCAGGAGACAGGTCTTTTATAGATTCATCTTCAAGAGGTGCTGCTGATATTGACTTGAGGAACAGTGGCCTTAGAGGTCGAAGGTATGCATCTCCTACTCGATATCCAGCTGGAGCTCCCAGTTCTTTCAGGCCAAATGCTGCTGATCCCAGCTCTCGACCTGCTTCTGTCGATCCCAACTACAGATCCGGCCCAGAGCTAAAATTTAGGGGTTCAGCCCTGGAATCTACCGGCTTCTCTAAAAGAAGGGAGAGTTTATTTGTGAACAGCCAAGTTGTGGATGACAACAGTTAGCTTTTTAAAACCAGTTGTGCTCAGCTTCTCCTTCAGGGAGGGCAGGGGGAGTTTCTTTTAGATTGTCCTTTGGCTGTCATAAGATATTATGAAGCCATTTGAACCCTGCCATGTTGTAATTTTAATCTTTAGTGACATAAACAAAGAATAAATGCCAAAAATTTCAAGCATTATCCTTTTTGAAATAGAGGTTCAAAATGCTGCCTGTTCTCTCCTATCATTTGTCCTTAGCTTTGAACTGCAGATGATGTGCCTGTGTCTTTTGTTCCGAGGACTAAATTGAAAAGTTTCATCTTTCTAATCTTTGGTTATGTAATATTCATTTCTATAATGAGAATAAAAATACTAATTTGTAATTTAACCTGCATTAAACAATAATGCCTGTGGACCTAACGGGTCAATTAAATTAAAAATATAGTACCATTACATTAAAATTGTGAGAGGACTTGGAGTTTTGATTTTGACTTTTTACTTAAAATTAATACAATAATAAGATAATATCAAACTTATATTAGAATATTGACATCTAAATTTCTAACTAAAATTAAAAGTTTTGGTGTTTTCAACTATGGTTTTGGAGGCTAAATTTGTTTATTTTTTAAGCACACTTAATATTCTTATTTTTTATATTTATAAATTTATTTTTAATGATTTTTTTATTTTTTTAAAATTAAATTAAACATCTATAATATAAAAAAATTTCACGTTTTAATATAAAATACATAAAAATAAAAAATTTTATTTTAATTTTGATAATAATTAAAAAAAGACATTTAAATACGAAAAAAAAATCCAAGTCAAAATCCTTATCAATTAGAAAAACGAGGCTTTATCCAAAAACGTTTCTTTTTCGTCTTCAGATTGATAAACCAACCGCCATTTTTGTTTTATTTTATTATTATTTTTAAAAAAAAAAAAAAAAATATCAACCGTCATTGTAACCGAACCCCGCTCCACATATCACAAAACTTTTGCTGGCTCTTTCTCTCAACTAAAACGAACAACCACGCGAGAAATAACGACTCCCTCCTTTCGCTAACTATACACTTTCAGGAGCTCCAATTTTGTTGAACTTTTCCTATTCCTTTTAAATTTTTTTTCTTTCTCTTTATGATTTTCCAGTTCTCTTTATTTAGTACCATTGGTTTCGATTTTGTTAGTATTTATTTTTCTTTTACCTTGATTTTTTTTTTTTGGCTTGTTTTGTTTACGAACTGCTTCTGTAGTCTGAAGAAAGCTCGAGTGCTAGGGTTTTAGTTTTAGATTTTGTGATTGATGGCTAATACGAGACGAAATGACAACGTTTTGCCGTCGGAAGTCGGGATTCCCTCCGGATTGAATCGGATCAAAACGCCGCGAGTTTCTTTGAAGGAACAACCGAGTTCGAAGCTGGGAGAGTTGAACGAGTCAAGGACTTCGAAGCCTCCTTTGAAGCAGAAACAGAAGTCTGTTGCTCAAGGACAAGGAAAAACATACGGTTTCTCTAAAGAAGGTTTGAATTCCATCTTCTTTTTTTTTTTTTTGTGTGTGTGTGTTTTTCTATGAATTTTAGTTTATATACGTCTCTGTTGAGGCTCTGTTTGTTTGCTGAGAAAACATGGAGGAAAAAAAAACTCGAATTCTTGAATATGTACTGATGATATATCAAACGCGTTAAAAACATACTAGACCTTAAGGATGACTAAGCATGAAAACGAGATTAGGACTCTCACTATCGACACCTTTTGAATCAATATGTTTTGCCTCGTTATAGATTCAACATGCTGATGCTGAAACATAACCATATGATGAAAAGGAAGATTGTCATCCATAGACAATTGAATAGTTATTTAAATCATGTCACAAGGAAATAGTTATATCCAGTGAGTTCATCAAAGTCCCCTCCATTACGAATGCAAAGCAACCTTTTTCAGCTCTTAAAATACGAGTCTAAAAAGGATTCCTGCAACTTTAACGAAGTTGTCCTTGTTTTTCACTGTGCCATTAGTTCTTAGGCTTGGTTTCCTAGTGACTTGGAATTTTGCTATTTCCAGTTCATTATCTTTCGTTATCTTATACTTGTCTTGAGTCTCTGTTTTACCATTCCCTGTTTTCTAATAAATAAAAAGTAATGTTTATTTGTTGCTCTTTCTGGTTTCATATTTGCAGTGGAACAAAAAGGAAAGAAGATAGCACAGTGGTTTTCATCATATATTTCAAGGAATTCTACTCAAGCCTTCAATACTGTTACAAATATTGAGGTGACATTTAAACTATGCTGGTTTTGCTCTAACATTGGCTTACAGATTAGTTTCATGATACTCTTGTCACATTAAATCTGCCTAAGAAACCTTGCTGCTAAATTGCCAGGCTGGTAGCTCAGATGTTAAGACACGTGACAAAGAGGAACTTACAAGAGCTAA